GACGCTCGAGTGATGAGAACGTGAGTCGCGTGAGAGCTGCACCGGGTATCTGTCGGAGAACTATCCACTAGTCAAGTGGATGTGGCGCGTGAGCTTCGCTGGTCGAGTAAAGATCTTCACCGTCGAGTGTATACTAAGTGAGCTCCTTGTAACCGCCGGTCGAGTGAACGATACGCGCCGGTCGAGTGGAGTGCTTGTGCCCCTATCGAGTGAGGTACTGCCGAGTAGAGTTTCGGACGGTCCAGGACGACGGTGAGGACTCCTACGCTCGAGTGAACGAGAAGAGCTAGCTCGAGTGGTTCTTGAGTAGTCGTCGGTCGAGTGAACACGTTGGTGGTTGCAGACCCGCCGAGTGACGGCGAGGGCGGTTGATTGGAGCTTCGCTATTCGAGTGAGGGTCGAGTCTTGACTGGTCGAGTAAGAGAGATGCGTTACCGTCAAGTGAGGAGGTTGCAAAATCCAAGTTCGGTCGAGTGAGGAGGTGACGGAGCTGGCTTGTCCGGTCGAGTGGGCTTAAATCCGACGAGTCGAGCGAAAGCTTTACCGTCGAGTGGTGGGCGCGTCGAAGAAGCGAGAGAGCGACGGAGGTGAGAACGGGTCGCGTGAGCCTCGGTGCTTGCGTAGCTCGAGTGAACCGGTCGAGTGAGAGTAGTGACGGCGACCGAGTGGAGGTGAGGTAGAGTGGTTCGAGTAAGCTTTGTTGTGGGTGCGTATCGGGTGAAGGAGACGAGAGATAGAGAATCGAGTTGAGTTGAGGTCGAGTAAGTGGTGAGGGGAGAAGATAAGATGTGAGTGGATGGGTGAGCGTCGAGTGAGATATTTTTGTTTTTTTTTTTTTTTTTTTTTTTGTTTTTTTCAAGTGCAAAACATCTCTACCCACCATCTCAGTGAAATATTTTTGATACTGCATCTCCCACTCACTTCGTTCATTTTGTCATACTCGATTTTGCATCCGCACGTGACTCTGTTTTGCATTACTCCATCTATCTGAAATCCTGACCAACAGAAAACCAAAAACAAAAATCAAAAACACAAAAAATCCTAAACAATATGTACAAGGATACCTTTGGGACTTCCTCCCAAGTGAGCTTGTTTAAAGTCACTAAGCTTGACTTTTATGCCTTTTAGGCTTTGGGGGGCTCATAGAGAGGTATGGAGGACCCCTCTGGTGTCTCTTGATCAGCTATGTAACGCTTGACACGTTGACCGTTCACAGTGAACTCGCTGCCATC